AAGAAAGAAAGAAAGAAAGAAAGAAAGAAAGAAAGAAAGAAAGAAAGAAAGAAAGAAAGAAAGAAAGAAAGAAAGAAAGAAAGAAAAAGAAAGAACAAAAGTAAAGGTTCAATATTTTGTGCTATTGCAAAGTCGTGTCTAAAATATGAGCATTCTGACACAATCACAGGTAGGTCTAACCAGGAATTCATACACAAAATTACTCTGTAGCAACACCACAAAATCTAGTCAGCCTGCTATAAAAAAAAACAAAACATCAACAATTATTCTCAAATAAATTGGCTCCCTATCTGTCAGAGAATAGATTTTAATGTCACTGCTGACAGCTTCAGATTCACACTAACAAATGAAGACACACTCAAAAAACACACACAGTCAAGCAGAAAAATAAAGAGGAGAAAAAAATACAGGTGTACTCTAGAAGCAATAAATATGTAAATTGTATATTTCCAAAGTATAAAGAAATGATAGTGTTCTCCACGGTTCATATCATGTCAATATGTAGCGAGTGTTACACCATAAATGGAGACATGGGCGTGGTCCCCTCATAAATCAGTGTGTTTTGACCTTTATAGCGGGTTCATCAGACACACATAAATGTATCTTTCACACCAATTTGCTCATCAAGATGAGTCAAATTTCATAACAGACATTCACTAGAATTGTGCTAAAATTTAAACCGCAGTGCAGTCAAAATTCGGCACACAATTCTTATTAGAAGCAGTTATTGCTCTGCTTTTAAATACACGAACACATCCCCCACTTCATCGTGAGACCACGCACCGATATTATGTGGTATGCATTACTAATAAACCATAGCAATAAGTACAGTAACATTTTACTTATTCGTTCATTTATTTATTTATTTATTTATTTATCTATTTATCTATTTATTTATTCATTTTTATGTATTTATTTAGTAATCAGTACATTTCAGACAATGAACAGTGGCCCGCTCCTAACAGACACACATGCACCGTCTGCACATGACAGCTCTTCCTTTTTTTCTGTCTCTTCCAACCAAGAGTTGTAACTGGACCATAAATAATAGCCACATGACAACCACGCACACAGAGAGCCCTGCCTGACGCCCAACTTCAGGGCAGGCTGAACTCTATAAAGCAACCCAAAAAAAAGTAAAATATAAAAATAACAAAAAAATAAAAATAAAAACTGCAGTCACATTCCACATGAACAGCCGAGTTGCAAAAAAGTCCAAATCAGTTCTATCTTCAAATTCATCTAAATTTAAACCGGGCTATAAATTAAATGCATTCATTTTACTCTTGAGAGAATTACAGGTAATTTCCTATGGCCAGTGAAATACCACGCGCTGGCTAGGCAAAACGTAAGACATTAAATCAAAGCCCTGCAAACCTCCCTGTTATGCATTCTCATCTTTCCGCATGCATCAACTTCATAAGAATAAACAGCTGTATTCTCTCCGTGGACCCCAAATCTTCACTGGCAACTAAACCAGTGACTCATGTCACACAAATGCCTGCATTCACACACCAAGAAAAGGCACAGCTGAGGTGAARACAGTCAATAAATCACATTAGGAACATTCACCCAGAACCCTGCTGTCTTTCCTCAGAGAGAAAACCCCTACTCAATGCAGACTAAACAACGGAACGTTTCAAAAAAAGAAAAGTTCCACAAGAATTTAGAATTTACCCAGAGGTCTTCATCCAAGCAACAAACAGTCCATATAAACCCCGAACAGAAACTTTTTGTCAAACCCCAAAACTATCATCATCACCCACTGAAGTGTTCCCTGTCTGGTGAAAAATGACTCACCCTTTTAGCCGGCTTGCAGAAAACGGTTCAGTGCGATGGTGGTGTCTTCTGAAGTATAGGACCTCTGTCTCGTGACGCTATTAAATGAGGTGTAGAAAATACCACGTCTTCTGGTTGAAGTGGAACTGCTGTTGCTCAATGAAGAGAGGACTCTTAACCCAGGCTGGTTGAACAGCAAGAATCTTTATTTTTGCAGTCCAGGAGATTACAGCCAAAAACCAAATTGTGGCCTTCAATGCCAAATGATTCACCAAGTAAGAAGATGAAGATGAAGGCCCAGAGCAGGGGCGTACAAGGCTCTTTATAGGCTTTCACAGATGTACCATAAATCTTGTCACGGTATACCTTAAGCGTTCTTCCTAATATGGTCATACAGTATGTGCCGAGCTCTAAAGCTAGAGACTAAGAGACATCACATCTGTGCATTCCCGAGAAAAGGCCCCCCACTCTTTGGACACTACACATTATTTAATCAACTACTTCAGCATCTAGAAGTTAATAATATGCTAATGTAACAGTACTAATATTGTATATGATTCCACTTGTCATCTCATTTTATTTGGGTTATGTATAAGAGGTAGAACTGCGCCCTCTCTTGGTGGTTCGGTGTAATAAGTATAGTGGACATGAGAACCACATTGCAGTTCTGAAAGAGACGGGCACGAGGAAGGTGTGTTAGCATTAGCTCTGTGATAAAATATTCTGTGCATTTAACTACTGTCCATCAAATGGTAGTTGGTTAACTGTAAGACGTGTTTATGTTGCTTTGGGTTTTTATGAGTTTCATATTGTACATTTTATGAGTTTAATATCGCTGTTTTTTATAAGAACACATCTGAAAATGTCCGCTAGCTTACTACTAATCCCAGATACTATTCCTCAAAAGGTGCTGTATCTGCTGTGAGAGCCCATGATTTGATCGGTGCATGTTCTGTTTTATACAGATTAAACAGCGTCGAAGTTCACCTCGTCTCCTGACCATCATTTTAACACAACGCAGAAATAAACTATACGAAGAAACAGAAACAGTACGGGTTTACTCTTATTTGGACCGAGTTRGACTAAGTTACGGCCAAGTTCAACGCGGTTACACTAAGCAATAGCCAAAATGGTTTCCGCACGTCAAGGTCAACCATGTCTGCATTAATTTTATTCACTGAACAAATACATGCTGCTTTGAACAAAGGTCAAGTAACTGGTGCTGTATATATTGATTTTCGTAAAGCGTTTGACACAGTTGATCATTATACTCTCTTACAAAAGTTGATTTCTTTTCAACTTTCATCATCTGCAATACAAGTGTTTCCCTCTTATTTGACTGATAGGTGTCAGGTTGTGAAACATGGAAGCTCTGTGTCCGGGTCTCTGCCATCTTCCGTGGGAGTTCCGCAGGGTAGCATGCTGGGCCCATTGCTTTTCCTATTATACATAAATGACCTTCCAAAAATATTGAAGTATTCAAATATTTTTTAATG